ACTCCCTCGAGTTCTTTATGAAGAACAGAAAGTCCATGCTTTTCTCTGCTTTTCAGCCATTCTCTTTGCCGTGTCCTTTGTCTTCGTTTTTTTTTTTTTCTGGACGTCACAAGCCGCCTGCCACAAAGAAAACTATTTCGTCCTCAGAATCCATATTTTTATAAATGGATAACGTAATGCTTACGTCAGAGTTTGTAAAATCGTAGTAAATTCGTGTCGTGTGTGACTGCCTCCGTACGATTTTCGGATAAACTCAATCGTGACGTGCCAGAGCTCACGACGTTCCGACCTTCAGAATCGCACCGTGTACGCCCGCCTTTAGTTGTGGCATCACCGTTTAGTGACATCATCGAATGCTCCGGGAAAACGTATAGTCAGTGTCGGTCACAGCGTGCTGTTTTGAATCCAGCAATAATTTATTTACCAATTATAAGCTCTGATTATGACAAGTGTGGTATAAAATCTTTGTTTATTAGAGGAATAATTGGTTAGCTGGAAAATGTTACATCGCGACAATGCTTTTGGGTGCCGTTTGAGCCCATATAGCCTACATTTATGCGGCTATACAAAGTTCTTTGTATTGTTTTTATCTCTGTATTTGTTATGGTTTGCCGGTTGATCACGAATTGGTCACGAATTTCCACAAATTCAATAATATCTAGGCATTGTTTCTTTTCCTAAATCCTCACCGTCTAACCTTTAAACTTTGTGTAGCCTAAGTAATTTGTTATTTTATTAGGCGTATATGGTGTATTTTTATTCGTTTTGTTAATAGAATTTCTGAGTTTGACGTTGTTGTTGTTTGAATTGAATCAACGCCGATTTGCCGCTAATTTGAAAGTGAAAGTAAAACGCGCACTGTGCTTTTTCAAGCTATTTGAAAGCCAAGAAATCCGGGGAAAAGAGGGAAAACTGAAACAAACAATTGCTTGACGCTGAATTGCGGCAATTCAATTGCCGCTAATTTGAAAGTGAAAGTAAAATGAGCACGGCACTTTTACAAGCCATTTGAAAGCGAAGAACAGTGGGGAAACTCAAACGAACTAACACCCCCACCCCAACGGTGATACCGGTATTACCGGTGTTGTCACACGTTGATTAACCGGTGGGAAAATTTCCTCACCGTCACAACCCTAGTGACCATTTGTGGAAAATCTTCAGTTGTGTGCTAGGGTATGTTGGATGCAGTAATGATAATAATAAATTCGCACGCAAAATGCTTTTATTAAAGGAATCATTCACCCAAATTGAAAATTCTCATTTATTCACCCTCTTCCAAACCTAATGTTTTTCTTTAGTCTGTTGAACACACACAAAAAGTGTTATGAAAAACACCTTTTTGCCATACATTGAAAGTCAGTGGGCGTATAATGTTGGCATTGTTCTTGTTTTGTTCGCAAACACTGTTTGCTAAAAATAAGGAACAGAAATGTAAAACTCCTTAGTCTGTGGTGCTTCCTGTGTTATACTTTATTGTGGTTAACATTGGTTTATTTGCATGATCCCAGGTGAGTCTGGCTCTGCGATACTGAACATCTGCCTGACCCGAGACTCAACGCTCCCCCTCCCCCAACCTCCCTGCCACCCTGCCCTACGCCCCACACACCCCTAACCCAGCATGAACGAGGTCAGCATCGTCAGAGAGGGCTGGCTCCACAAGAGAGGTGAGATTGCTTACTCACCCATTCTTTGCTCAGTCTATCATATTTTTGTATTGTAAACACTGAGTTGTTGTCTTCCTTGTCTCTGCCTTTTTGATTTATCCCCACTTTCTTTCTCCTGCCATCTACTTCCTTGTATCTCTTCCTCCTCCTGTCTGCAGGTGAATACATTAAGACTTGGAGGCCCCGATATTTCATCCTAAAGAGTGATGGCTCTTTCATCGGCTACAAGGAGAAGCCAGATACGTCAGACCACAATCAGCCGCCTCTCAATAACTTTTCTGTTGCAGGTCTGCCACACTTTACTGTATCTCTCCACACAAACCAGATTGTGTTTAGTATGCTAACAAGGTAGTTTAGTTTTTGAGCTATAGGCTATTATTAAGGCAAGGGATGCATGTTAAAGATAATTGCAAGATAATTGCACCAAATAGGAAATTGGACAATATCAGCAGGGTTTTTGTTGTTGTTTATTTTTATACATTTGTTTATATCTGGCAACATTGAATCTTTCATTGTTTCAGCTTATTTAGAGATTTTAAGGATCACTTTTCCCATCACCTAGCACCTGTAGTGGTAAATTATGGCAAAAACTTTATCTGTTTGTCTGACCAGTAGACAATGGGGCAGTGTTTAAGAAAACCTGTTAAAAGTGTTTTTAATTTTACAAAAGTGGCCCGGAAATTACACAATTAATGTTTAAATACAAATTAATGTGTTTGCGAAAGTACAAAAAAAAAAGAAAAAAAGAAGAATTTGACTTGAGGTTTTGTGTGTGTGTGTGTTTTTCAATCAATGTTGGATGTTCTTGTTTGTTTAAATCTCCTAAACCTGGATACTAGCGTATTCGGTCAAGAATCATCTCCCAATTAAGAAAGCAAGAGGTCATCAAATAGCAGTTGACTTAATATATGAAGTTTAGAAACTTTTGACAAATTCAACAAATTTAAATCCAAAATACAACTTTTCAGAACTTTAATATCCTTCACAGAGTGTCAGCTGATGAAGACTGAACGACCTCGGCCAAACACGTTTGTCATCCGCTGCTTGCAGTGGACCACTGTTATTGAGCGCACCTTCCATGTGGACAGCAATGCTGAAAGGTGAGGAAATGAGATGTAGGATCCTGCTGCAATCAGTGTCCTTGTTGTGAATGAATGAGTGGAAGAGAGAGAGCTTAAGAAGCAGATGCTGAATGGTATTTACTGGAAAAGCAGATTTAGTTGTATTAACCAGATTTTTGCCAACCAAAACAGGTTATTACTCACTGCCTGTTGCTTATATTGAATCGTAAGGGAGTTGAAAAATATTTCAGTGGAAACAGGAATTGTGTTTAGGTCATTATGTGACTAAAGAGCCCAATTCTTTCAAAGGATGGCAATCATGTACATGTGACCAGTGTAAGAACATAGAAAATAACAAGAGGAACCACAACTTGCTTATTGTTTTAATGTATTTCTTGGATTTAATGAATATGATTTTATCTTGATGTCAATGCAGAGAGGAGTGGATACGTGCAATCCAGGCTGTGGCCAATGGGCTCAAGTCCCGGGAAGAGGAGGAGCCAATGGACATCAACTTTGGCTCCCCTGGCGACAACAGCTTGGAGGGGATGGAGGCTGCCATCGCAAAGTCCCGCACCAAAGTGGTAAGTGCCTTAACTCAAGGTGTAGCTACGTTCTGGTGGTTTGGTTAACGTTTCACTTCTCCATAAGAAGCAATCTCAGTTGTCCATTGTCTGAAGGAACCAGTTTCCTACACAGCTGTGCCAGTTTCATGTTTCTCGTATCACCTTGCCCTCTCTATCTTCTTAAATAATAGAATAATATTTCATATCCAGTTATTATTACTTGGCATAACTGTAGATGATATTGCCCAAAACGGTTAAATTGTGAGTTTGCAAGTATGTGACAATGAGTTTAAGCTGTTAATATTTGTATGACTAAAATGTGTTTTTTCTCTTTCTATTAATAAGGATTGTCTCAATGTGTTTATTATAAATAAAATATAAAAAGTAGGTTTTATTTATAAAAGCCTTTTTTAAAATGTTGAGATTTTATGACTGAGCAGATTTACAAAAACTTCATGAATCATTTTTTTTCTTCTTTAGACAATGAGTGACTTTGACTACTTAAAGCTGCTGGGTAAAGGCACTTTTGGAAAGGTGATTCTAGTAAGGGAAAAGGCTACTGGCATGTACTATGCCATGAAGATCCTACGCAAAGAGGTCATCATTGCTAAGGTGGGCAGCACACGAATCAGAAGTTTGAAATGCTCCTTGTGTGAGACTCATGACACGGTGCGTCCTTTTTTGTCTATTTCAGGACGAGGTTGCACACACAATCACAGAAAGCAGAGTGTTGCAGAACACACGGCATCCGTTCCTTACAGTACGTCCATCTCCATCAGGGGATTTTTTGTTGCACAATTATCTTGGTTCTAGATTTGTTAATTCACATTGTTTTCAATCTCTCTACAGACACTAAAATACGCCTTCCAGACACGAGATCGATTGTGTTTCGTCATGGAGTACGCAAATGGAGGCGAGGTTTGGCACATCTTGTCACTCCTTACAAAAACAAACTAGAAAAGCCTTCACATTCTGTCTCTTTTAAAATTCTGTTGTGTCTCCTTTTTACGTGTTTCCAGCTGTTCTTCCACTTGTCTCGAGAGCGTGTGTTTACGGAGGATAGAGCTCGCTTCTATGGGGCTGAAATTGTTTCAGCATTGGAATATCTGCACTCTAAAGACGTCGTCTACAGGGACCTAAAGGTTTTCTGTGTTTAATGTTCTATGTAATTATTGTGAAAATACTTTGAATTGTTTTTGAAAATTGTGTCATAGACCACAAAGACGTGAAGTCTGTGTTCCTTTTTTCCACAAATGACAAAACACAATTTCCTAATTCTGTTCGAATTGCGTTTGTCTCTGCAGCTGGAGAATCTGATGCTGGACAAAGATGGTCATATTAAAATCACAGACTTTGGCCTGTGTAAAGAGGGCATTACTAATGAGGCCACCATGAAGACATTCTGTGGGACCCCAGAGTACCTTGCTCCTGAGGTACTGCCTACTCACTCCATGAATGTGTTTTTTCAATCGATTTTTGAATCATAGTTTAATAGATTAAATGTGGAAAAACCCTGTGAATCAGGCCCAGCTCTGATTTTCTCATTTTATGACCTATTCTAATGAAATCCCACACTGTTTTAAAGCAGGAAAAACCATCTTGTTGTTTGTGTGTTTTGAACTTCACCATATTGAAAGGAGAGCAGAAGCTACAAAGCATCTTCGCAATATTACACAATACATGTCAAGAAGTACTAGATGAAGGTTTAAGAATAAAAAAAAAAAAGAGGAATATTTAAACATTGATTTAAAGCAAGTCCTGTGAAGTAGAAAGCTAAAAGACAAAAGGCTTGAAACTATTTTCTGTTACGTTTGTATGTAATTTGTAAGTTAATGTAATTGTCTTAAAGGCATAAGGTTGGTTTAAAGGGGTCATGAACTGCCTTTTTTATTTTGTACTTTCCTCTGAGGTCTATTTATAATGTTATGAAAATTTTTACATTAAAAAAAACATCATAATTTAGAAGTAATATGCGATTTTCTGTCCATGACCGCTGCAGACGCACCGCTCCTGGAGCGCACTGCCGGAGCGTAATCGCGTGCAGTGTGAACGCTCTGATCCGTTAACATGGGCGCGGACAAAATACGCACCGCAGACGGAGTGTGTGAACCTGGCGTTATGTTTGTATGCCCACCCGGTCTGTTCTGTTCTCATGCTCCATTTAGGTGCGCTGCATTCTGATTGGTTCGGATAGCATAATGCGGGAGGTCGGGGGCGCGGAAAATCGTGCTATAAAGCGATTTAGAAATTGCGCAAGCTCAGATCGCGATTTTATGACGATTTCGATTAATCGCACAGCCCTACTCGGAAGTAAACGCCCACTGGTACGATTGGCTAAAAGTTGCGTATGTTTGACAGCCTACATCCTTCACAGATGCATGCTGCTGTGATTTAGGTTTAAAACGCATAAATACTCAGTACATATCAAACGATCTGAAATAACAAAGTAATAGTGACCACATAATAAAAACAGTTACTCACACTTGTGTGGTGCGACATTACTGTCGGATCCAATATATTCAGCACAGCATCGTCTTTTATTTTCAGTCGTTCTGAAAATCCTGCATCGAATTGTGCCTTGTTTGTAAATGAATCCGCGGTAAACAAACAGCCAAGTTCTTGCTGATGCAGTCTGGAACTTCATTAAAAAGACAGTTCGTCCACTGATCACACTTTCCTGATGTTGGGATCAGAAGGAAGGCAATGCAAAGACTGCACAGCTTGGCACTGAACTGCATCTTGTTGTCTTTGGAGCCATCTTTATCGTGTGATTTCTGCGTAGACCTGCGTTTGTCTCTCTCGTTATTTACATTACATGTGTGAATCGGTGGGCGGGGCTAAACAGGCAGTGATGTTGAAGCAGGTGTTGATCTTCTGCGGAGGTAGTGTTTAGCCACACTATTACGTCATAAAGTGGTACATTCCACAACCTGTCGTTTTGGCAGACTGGCTTCAATATAAGCTGTTTTTTTTTACAAGAAAGTTTTGAGTTCTGAAACTTACAGGATGTTTTTATAGTACAATGACCTCTTACATGTCACAAGATCAAGGGAATTTTGATTTCTCAGTTCATGACCCCTTAAATATAATTTGGCAGGATTGTTCTTTTGGCTAACAGAAAAAAAAGGAAAATCAGCCCGTTATTCTTTTGTGCATTCCTTGTGTATTCTTATTGTCCACACGTCCACAAGGTTTGGTCACTGATAGCCAAATAGCTAATTATGGTTTATATACATTATTAAAGTAAAATTGTTTACAAAAGCAGTTTAGTGATGTCTTTAAGCACTAGCAGCATGAACTTTGATATACCTTCCCAATATTAAAGAATGCCTTGTTTAAGCTTCTTGTTTTCTCTTTCTTTATTGCCATCTCTAAATGGTCTACTTATTTTCATGTTCTCCACTTTCTTTGCTGTAGGTATTAGAAGACAATGATTACGGCCGTGCAGTGGATTGGTGGGGTCTGGGAGTGGTCATGTATGAAATGATGTGTGGTCGGCTGCCGTTCTATAACCAGGACCACGAACGTCTGTTTGAGCTCATTTTAATGGAGGAGATTCGCTTCCCTAGAAACCTCTTGCCCGAGGCAAAGGCCTTGCTGGCCGGACTGCTCAAGAAAGACCCCAAACAGAGGTAAGAGGAGCATCTGTTTCTACTTTTGTTATGACGGGGGGGTCTTGTGTATGTTTTAGTAATGTGAATTTGGTGTTTTTAAGGCTTGGAGGAGGTCCTGATGATGCCAAAGAAGTGATGACACACAAGTTCTTCAGTTCCATGAACTGGCAAGATGTCCTTCAAAAGAAGGTAAGAGTTTAAGTCAGTGGGAGCCGATTCATGAGATGTAATCGTCACACATATTAGAGAATGTACACTGTTAATGTCTTTGACAGATGCTCTCAAATATCGTTTGCGTTCATGTTCCAATATTGTGTGTCAGCATGATTGATGCAGCGTGATCGGAAGACACATACCCTCAAACATAACATGTTTATTTTTTTACTACTTTAGACATTTAACAGTGAACAGTCATTTATGCTGATCTCTGCGTGTGGTTTTATGCAGCTCATGCCACCCTTCAAGCCGCAAGTGACCTCAGAGACAGACACACGCTACTTTGACGACGAGTTCACTGCACAGACCATTACTGTCACGCCACCTGACCAATGTGAGTACCTCAGTTCTTCCTCCTTGCCTGTCTGCTTGCGAGGTGTCACAACTCTTTGTGTGTCTGAGAAAATGATTAACAAGTCACTTTGTGGAAAATGACAGCAAATATTTTAGCCCTCAAAACTGTTCCAAATAAGTCGCACAAGTATTTAAGTTACACTGGATCAAAAATGCGTTGAGAAAAAAAAAAAAACCCCGCCGCATTGGTGTAAAAGTCACATGATGCTGTTATTATTACATACAATGTAAAATATCTGTACATGAAAGATTTACAAACATAAGCACTATGAAGATTATGGTGTCATTCATTAAACAACATTTAGGCTATTATAAAGGCCAAACCTACTTAAGTCACAGCACGTATCAGATGAAGAATAAAACGAGAAAAGTATGATGTTTAATAAAAAAAAATTTCCCATGGAAGGAGATATTTAGCAGAATGTCGAGGCTGCTCTGCTTCTCTATAGTGAAAGTTAATGGAGGCCACAGACTGAAATTTGAGCTATTCGCTGCAAGTCTTCCCCTTTATCATAGTTTTCAGATCTCATTCTTGCTTGTGCGCAAAAGACAAATATAACAGTTGTGGCCTGTTTGAATTAGGGATCCTGTTTACTTTGTTAGCGTACATTACTAGTCTTGTGGTGAACAATTAATCCGTCCAAAGTTAATCCACAGAAATAAATAGTTTGTTTTAATAATCTCTAGCGAAAATCTGCTTCACGTCTGGTAATCGTTTCTATCACGCAATATTGACTTTTTTAACGCGCAACTGCAAGTTTATATCTCGCAATTCTGACTTAGTTTCTCCGAATTGTGAGTTGTGAGAGAAAAAAAGTCAGAATTGTGAGGAAAAAATGCCTCAATTACCTTTTTTTTAATTCAGTGGCAGAAATAGGCTTCCATACATTTAGATGTTAGAGGTTGAATGTTCATTAATTGATATGATTTGTTCTTTGTCTCTGTTGCTTGCAGATGACAGTCTTGATGCCGAGGACCCAGATACACGCACACACTTCTCGCAATTCTCCTACTCAGCCAGTGTGCGGGAGTGACCACCCCCCTCCCCACTTCTCTCACCCTTACCAGCAAACCGGACGCCCCTCACATACACAAACGCAAACTCATACAAGGACATGTGCACCAGCAACCCAAGCCTACTGAGGAGTGGGTTCTAGGCGGGAGTACGGCATCTGTGAACGATCCTGAACAGGTGGGACCCTCTGGTCAGTCCTGGTTTCTGATTGGCCTTTCATCCAGCCAATCGTAGCCTGACACTACACACTGCAACACAATCTTATCAATCACTGAATAAATCTCAACCAATCAGGTACCACAGCTCAGCACCAGCAGGTTTCAGGACACATGCTCGCACTCAAAACGCTGGACTACGGGACTAAAGCCTCTTGTAAACACAAATATCGAAAACATTTTAAATCATCTTGTGGGGACAAGAGAAATCAAACTATTTGGACTTATTTCCCACTGATTGTTACAGTTTTAAAGCCATATTTCTGCAGTTGTACAAGTGCTCTTTCTGGAACTAGCTGTTACCAATAGTGTTTTTACAGCGGGAGGACCGATGATGGGGTAACACGGAAAGGAATAGTGCTGTTTCTCTGCCTGGGTAGCGTACCGAATGCTGTGCGTGTACGAACATTGACGGATGTGTGTTCTCAGTCTACATCTTCAACTGTGTGTCTTTTTGTGTTTCGATTTTGTACATGGGCATAAAGGAGTAGAACAGGGAGGGATTGTTAGGGGTTTGGAGACCCACACACTATAGATGTGAAAATGTGCTTTAAAGGGAAGAGAGAGAGAGGAAGACAGCTCTAGCGTGTTAACTGGTTTCCTCCACAACCAGGAACCTTGAAACTGGCTTTATAGAGAGGCGTTTTTCCAGTTTTCATCTGAAGCCCCAGAGGCTTGTTGTTCCAAGGTTACTGTATCATAGAAACTGTCCATCATGTTGTTTTCATGCTCTCGAAAGTTTTGCAGGCATTGACGTTCAAGTTTAGAGACAAACATACAGGCAACAACCGTAAAAAACAAAACAAGAGATTTGAATGTCCTGTTATTTAACTGCAAGAGCTACTGCATCAGTTAAAGTAGCAAGCAGTGGAAACACGTACCTGCGTGCTACACCCTTGTTGACGCAGCCTTGACACTTTTTTCATTTCTCCTTTTTTTTTTAATAGTGTAGTCAGAAAAAAAAATGGTTAGGATGTTTGAGAGAAAATGTTCAACTTCATCTCCAGATGTGTAACGTAGGTTAACGAAGCTGTCAGAACACACCGATTAGATGTGCGAGGTGTTTCTTTCTTTTGCCTTTTTAAAGATGCTTCATGTGTAAGGAACATCAAACTATTTTGTTTTTTGTTTTATTCCTTATTTTATTTGGATCATTTTTTTTCTTCATTCGCCAGCTCCCTGAAATTAAATTGTCTTGATAAAAAATATATATATAAAAATATATATTACAATAGAAAAGTTTTTTTTGTTTGTTTCTTTTGTCCATTTTTCCATGTGTAGTTCATTTGTGCATGTGTGGGTGTGTAATAAGGTAGTCACTGTATATATTTGCAAGGGGAAATGAAAAGCTTCCTTTCTTGAGATCTGACGATCTTTCGTGTTTAAACATGATATACATTACCATCCCTCCTCCATAAACTTACTCATACAGAAAGGTCCTTACTGGTACCAACAGCAGGGCCGAACTGAAGTGCTTCTACGGGTCTTAAACACATCAAGCCCAAAAGTTGCTGTCATCTTTGGTAGTTGTTGGCATCTCACTAGGTTTTGAAACAGCCCTTATTGCCTTGACTGAGAGAGACCGCTAGATGGTGCCATTTGCCCGTGTCATGAAATAATACATTGCTCCGGACATAACTTAACATATGCACACTCTAGTTCACACCATTAATGATGCTCAAATATAGTTTTTAAAAGAAACTTTTGGGTGGAGACATGAGAGGAAAAGATCTAAAATGGTCTGCTGTAGTGCTTTCACCCATTTTTCTTATGTGTATATACCTACTTGTAGGACAAATCAGCTTTGATTATTTTGCAACTTTACCCATCGACTGTTCTGTTCTGAATGTGATGAACAATCACGAATGTCATCATTGATGCTCAGTTTGCTTTTTTTAGTGCAGGGGATGCAAACATTGGGGGAAACTTGGAATATTTCTGCAAACTCTTTGATTTTATTATTTTTTTGGCTACAGAGTGCAGTGGGTTATGCTTTGCTATTAGGACATTCATGCAAGTAAATTCTTTTGTCAAAAACTGTATGTCTGCCTCCTTTACTAACCCAACAGCATGCCAAATTAATCAAGTGGACAGCAGATTTTGAGACAGTGTTCTTCGGCCAGTGCTCAAGGTCTCAAAAATTTTCACAATTTTTCATGTCCGTCACAGTGCTGATTGCCTACACAACAAACTCCTAAACTGCACAATTAACCCCTAAACCTACCTTAAAGTGGTAGTTCACCAAAAATGAAACTTCTTTAATCATTTTCATTACAAAGCCTGGTTATGTCATGTCATTTCAAGCCTGTGTGACTGACTGACTTCAGTGGAACATAACAGAAGATATTGTGAGAAATGATTCCCAGCTCAAAACCTGGGCACTTTGCAGTCATTGAAAAAGCAATGAATTCTAAAGTGAAACGAGACATTTTACAGGGGAATGTCAGAACTGCAGATCATATCTTCAAGCTTTAGATTGGGTTGGGTGATGCAACAACACAATCACCCAAAACAAATAAATCTACTCATGACTGAATGAAAAATAAAGAAATATGTGTTTCCTTGAGTCCTGACCTTAAGTCAATTGAAATGCTGTGGCATAAAGTCTTGCTATCAAGACAGAAATACTGATAAACTGTAACCGATTTATGAGGAGGTATTCAAAGCTGGTCAAAAGTCTGCTACAGGAAACGTTTGCTAGAGGTTGAGCTGTTGAAGGAGGATCTACAAATGTTCACTTACTTTGCACTGCGAATGATTACTCGGTGTATTCGATAAAAATGTGAAAAGTACAATTGTTTGTGTGATATTAGTTGTCAGATTGTGTTGGTCTACAAATGTGAAATTATGTAATCAGTGCAGAAATCCAGACATTTCCAAAGGATTCAAATATATTCTTGTCTCAGAAATTAACATGAAATTAATCAGTGATGATAAGAATAGCTATAACACAATGCACATTCCAAGAATATTGCACACTTTTAAACAATAACATGACCAAATCTTTGTTTTTCTAGTAACTGTTATATAGTTTAGATAATTTAACAACTTTATGCTCAATAATAATGACTCCTAGCAGGGATAAGTAGCTATCTTTATTCAAATGTCAGTATTTTTTTTTTAATGTATTTTGTATGTAAACAACAGAATTATATTATCTTTTTTATTGAATTAATTTATCTTGGAGAAATATTATGCTGAAATTATGTGTTCATTTAGGAATAAGACGGACCTTTACCATATATTTGGGACATTTTTGTCCAACTCTGTTTAAAGCTAAGTAGCACTATGTAACTTTTGGCGCTCTAGCGGTTAATAAACAGAACTGCACACATCCCGCGGAAGAACATTCCAACCGGAGCTACTTCTCTAAGTTTATGTCTATGGCGATTCACGCAGGTATGTGTTACTCCGCAGCGGTGACGACCCGACCAGGCTGCAATAGTCCAAATCTAAGTACTTATTATGAGCGTACCGTAGTGATTCGGAATAAGACAAAAACGCGGTTTGGAAGATTAATTCATGATGCACTCGCTCATTATATACATTTTGCAAATTTTGAACAGAAAAAGTTACATAGTGCTGCTTTAAAGCTGCAGTCCGTAAGTTTTGCCTCTTTGTCGCCATCTCTGTTTGAAAACCTGCAATTGCAGCTGTGTCCGGAATTATCTTTCCTGCGTGGGTTGTGCGGTGGCACGGCTCCAGCCTGGATGAATCTAATGTTTTGAGGAGTATGTGTGGCAGTCAGTCTATAAACAATCGGCCACCTGCAGGATCCTCACATGCGATAGCCTAGTAGCTGAGACAACTTCTTTATGTTTACAGACGTGACATAATGACGCAGTGCCATGCTCGAATTTCCCAAGAAAACCTACCCGTACCACTCAAATGAGGAAACATTATTATAAGCTAACTGTTGTGAATCGGACTAAAGTAAGGCGATAGTTTTGAACACTGGCTGGTTATGTACATGCTCAAATATTGATTTCGGATCATTTTTAACCAAAAAAAGTTACGGACTGCAGCTTTAAAACAACCCAAACACACGGAACTTCAGAGATGGTCCTCACTGCAGAACACAAGATCCAGGGGGCGAGGTTATATCCAGATCCAACTCCTCCCACCTTACATATACCTAAACCTACGTGTCTCCACCCCCTGATCCCTAAACCCACCCATCTCCACCCCTAAACCTACCAATCTCCACCCCAACCTCCCCATCTCCACCCCTAAACCCACCAATCTCCACCCCTAAACCCACCCATCTCCACCCCTAAACCCACCAATCTCCACCCCTAAACCCACCCACCTCCACCCCTAAACCCACCCATCCCCACCCCTAAACCCACCAATCTCCACCCCTAAACCTACCAATCTCCACCCCTAAACCTACCAATCTCCACCCCTAAACCCACCCATCTCCACCCCCTAGATGTGGATCCAACCCCGCCCCCTGGATCTTTGTTCTGCAGTGAGGGGCTACTGGAACTTCCAGAGACTTGCATGAAGAAAAATAAGCTAGTGACACAGGGCGGGGCTTAGTGAAGGGTCAATTAGTAAGCTTTATTAGTGCCACTGCTGTTAATTAGCTGATGGTACAGCTGCAGATTCAGTGTGTGCAGGTAGCTGCAGTGTCTTTGTGAATCATGGCTCGAACTGGGTTTTGTGATTCCAGGCAACTGTTGGACCTCCATATGGTGAGAATGCTTGTAAACTCTCAACTTTAATTCCTAGACCTGCTGTGTAAACTGAATAATGGCCAAAATGTGACCAGAAAAATCTATCAATGGGAATTTTGTGTAAGTTCACCAGTATCTGCTACATTATTATTGACAACTGCACACATACTCAAGTTAACTAAAATATTCTGATTCCATGTGGATTTAGTCATGAGATCAATTTGAAGGCTGACCTGGAAGGCAAATTCCCATGGTTTCGTTCCAGAACTTCAGTGCATTCTTAAAATGGCAGTTTTTATTTTGTGTAAAACGAGGTCTGTGGTTTACATTCCTTGAAGTAACAATTTGTACAACATTAAATTACACCGCTATACCTCAAATGTGAACTCTGAAACTGTTGTATCCTTCTTTTAAAAAAATGCAAGTTGCTCAATAAGGACTTCAGCTGATTTCAGCTGTTTCAAAGTTCACATTCATTTGTTGCAGAACAAAACATGAAAGTCTGTGTGTAATGTTGCCCACAGATCTTATTTTACTTGTATTAGGAATCCATGCTAAATTTCTTCCAGGGTTTAAGACTAAAAACTGATTCTGTGTTCATGCAGGTCTTTTACGTGTATTGAAAGACTGCTGCTCGGTGAAGTGTTAATGCTTTACAAACTTATTGTGAATAAATGAAACCGTTATGTACTTCAGAAGACTGACGACAGACAAGCGCCCCTGCGGACGTGGACAAACTCCTGTGTTCTGAGGGAGCGCAGGGTGTTTGCTGAAGGAGAGGAGGTGGGTCCGGGGCAGCACTACAAACCCGCACAGGCGAGTCGATGGGTAACTGCAGCTCTTACGTCTTTATGTGCCAATAAGGTGTGACTTTGCTACCATTTGTAACCTCCTCTGAGTGTAATGGATAGAAAATCACCCTATTAGACAGGTGGTTCTTCAAATGATGTGTTATCACCATTCTGTCATCATGGGTAGCATTTCTGTTTTTCCTTAAGGTTCGAAGGCTTCCCATATCTGCAGAGGATGGGATCCTAATGGACTACGCTCCACATGATGAGTCAATACCTTCAGGTAACCTGAGATGGCTTGGTTGATACTGCTTGAGTAATCCATGACTTGGTACATTTTTCTTAATTTAGTATATTTAAGTCGAACCCAAGTTACTGCTGTAGAATTCTAACTGTAGCCTACTACTACAATAGAATCAAACAACTACTTTGTTTTCTCAGGTCGTCAGGCCAGATATTATTTTAGTTGGCAAAATGTGTTTTTTTTGTAATTTTCTAGAACTCACCCACTGTGCCATGGTGTTGCTGTTCTGGGTGGTTGCTTACTATCCATCAATCCCTAAACTGCTATAATAGAGTGCTGCAGCTGTGGTGTCAAAACCTAGAAGACTAATTCGCCATGGGTTCTCTTGAGATTTTCATAAGGGTTTTTATAAAGGGGGGTTTTCAATTCAAGAGTAAAAAAGTTCAGTGGTAATGTTTTGTTTTACTGCATGAACTACACACACCCCAAACTTTATGTAGTTACTTCTTACAAACATATGTTGTGGCGCAAAATGTCCAAGTATCGTCAATTTGTTTACCACAGACCTTGTTTCATAATTGAAAAACCCAAAAGAAAATCTCAAGGGAACCAATGGTAAATTTAGTCTTCCTGGTTTTGACGTCAATGCTTCAGCAATCTACAGGTGCATCTCAATAAATTAGAATGTCGTGGAAAAGTTCATTTATTTCAGTAATTCAACTCAAATTGTGAAACTCGTGTATCAAATAAATTCAATGCGCACAGACTGAAGTAGTTTAAGTCTTTGGTTCTTTTAATTGTGATGATTTTGGCTCACATTTAACAAAAACCCACCAATTCACTATCTCAACAAATTAGAATATGGTGACATGCCAATCAGCTAATCAACTCAAAACACCTGCAAAGGTTTCCTGAGCCTTCAAAATGGTCTCAGTTTGGTTCACTAGGCTACACAATCATGGGGAAGACTGCTGATCTGACAGTTGTCCAGAAGACAATCATTGACACCCTTCACAAGGAGGGTAAGCCACAAACATTCATTGCCAAAGAAGCTGGCTGCTCACAGAGTGCTGTATCCAAGCATGTTAACAGAAAGTTGAGTGGAAGGAAAAAGTGTGGAAGAAAAAGATGCACAACCAACCGAGAGAACCGCAGCCTTATGAGGATTGTCAAGCAAAATCGATTCAAGAATTTGAGTGAACTTCACAAGGAATGGACTGAGGCTGGGGTCAA